ATAAATTTATTTATTATATAATTTCTATAAATTAAAAAAATTATTACCTATTTTTGCTCTAACATTTTTTGCTTTATACTTTAAATCGGCACAAATTTTATAAATGATTTTTTTAGCGCCAAGTGTTTTATTACTATTTAAATCTCTATCAATACTGACATCTAAAACAATTTTTAAAGTTTCAAGTGCCGGTGATATTTGTTTAATAATGGTAATTAATATTGAATGTTCCATAGTACTAGAACAACCATTATGGTTGCCTTCATTAATCATAACTACTTGTCCATCAGTTTTTTGATATTTTCTAGATTTTTTTGCAACATGAAAACCAATAATAGGTTTATGATCATTTTCTAATAGTAAGTAAAAATTATTTTAGTTATCTATTTTAATTTACTATATATTTTATACTTAATTACTATTTAAAAATTTATTATATATAAATTCACTACTAGCTGCTAGTGCCTCACGAACATGACTCCATTGGCAATTAAAACTAACATCTAAATTAAATTGTTTGTTTTCAATTAATTTATCAAAAACTTTATGTAATGCTTTTTGAGCTGAATTAACTGCTTCATTTTTTAAGCTATCAAAAAGTTTATCTTGCTTAGCAAAGTATTGTGATTTACCACTTTGTCATGTGATTCCAACTAATGCAAACATAGATTGCTATTCTTTACGATTTACACCACTAACTAATTCTGCTGCAGCTATACTTGTTGAAAAATCTATTTCAGGTGATTCATTACTATGTTCCGTTGTTGCTTTACAATTTAGACATTTAATTATAATTTTAATTCAAAATCCATTTACTGTTATCGAGGGCTTTTTATTAGTAATTTCAGCAGTATAACAAATAGGACATGGTTGGTTTAGTATTAATATTAAATATATGTCTGTATTTACGAATATTGTTGATTCTAATTTTCTATTTTTAATTAAGTTGTTAACCATTAATTAAATTGTATTAGTAGAAGAAAGATTAGAATTTTCATTATTTTTATCACTGGTAGTTCCTTCACTATATAAAATTATTGAGTTTTTATATATAGTATTCAATATACTTTATGTATAATAATTATATAATTTACCTTTCAGAATCTAAATTAGAACATAACTCAGCATTTAGTTTCTGAATAGTTTCTAATGATTGATGTAATTTTTTTTTAGTATTTTTTAATTCATTGCATACTTCTTGAAGTTGAATTCCAAATGCTTGAGTAACTGAACTAGAAGTATTTTAGCTTTTAGCTTTTATTGGAAGCCCAGCTTGGATGTCTTCACTACTTTCTAGTTTACGTGCCTTATGTTTAGCTGAATTAATTATTGTAATATGTTTTTTCTGCGTTAAATAATTTTTTAGCATGTTCAAATAAGTTTGAATATGTATTATTAATATATCTCCAGAGCTATTCTACGTTTTCTTTACAATTAAATCCAAGAACACATGTTATTGATAATGCATCTTTATATTTAATTAGAGCTGATTGTAAATGATTTCACAAACTATTTAAATTATCTGGTAAAGATTGAGATTTTTGTTTATAAATTTTCAATTATCCCCATAATCTATCTATTTATAAAAAATCATTTGTTGAACTTCATTCCATTCAAGACTAATTTTTAAATAAACACTATAATATGTATATATTGTATAACTGGGAATTAAAGGTATATAAACTTTTTCATTTACATCAGGTTTGATACCATTAACTGTTAATAATTGATATAAACTCAATTGTTTATTTGTTTTATCATAGTTATTAGGAAGCGTTGCATGTTGTGGCAATAATTGAAGATATTGTGATTGTTCACTAACAAACAAATTTTTTGTTTGTTGCTTATATTTTATTCAATCACTGTTAAGCTCTAAAAGTCTTTGAATCCATTCGCAATTACCCTAATAATTAAACATTAAATGAACTAGTGTTTGTAGTCGATCCTTATTTATCGACTTGACTAAGTCGATATTTAAAATTCGGCTTAGCCGGCTAAGTCAGAGTCGATAAATATTTTTTACCTTCGGAATTTATCAGTGATTTCATCAAATTTTTGTCATGACCTTATGTTCATTGATTTTCTTTTCGGATTTTCTTGACTCTTACTCTTAGTGCTATGTACTAAGAGAGGTAATGTATCAAATTTGATTGGTACTTAATATAATCTAACATAAAGTCGACTAAGTCGATTTTTTGGAAAATTGGCTGACTAAGCCGGCTAAGTCGCTAAAAATCGACTATGCGAAATCGACTACAAACACTAAAATGAACAACCAATTCTATTATTAGATATGAATAATATATAATACAATAATTTTTAAAACAAATTACAAAATTTTCTGAATAAATTTCTTAATTTTTTATTCATACCATATTAAATGCACATAGTATTTTATAAAAAATTAGTTAAAACTGTTGATTTGAACAATACTACAAAATTAAACAATAATTAGCATCAGGTATTGAGAATTAGCAAGTTATTTGCATACTAATATATATGCAAACTTGTAAAAAGTACTAACTAATTGGCACTAAAATAGCTTTAAAATGTAGAGTAAGTTATTTAATATAACACGTATGTTTTCTTACATACTTTTGGTTGTTTTTCTTATTACTAAGTAAGAATTTAATGATTTTAACGAATATTGGACCGTGATCGATATTAATATATATAGTGTGTAACCTATCAAAAAAAGACTCTACCTTTAAACTATTTGAAACAATATATTGGAACACAAAATGTAATTGTATGAACTGATAGCACTAGAATCAGTGACTCATTTGGAAAAATGCCAAGAAATAGAACTATAGAAAGATGGCTTACAAACTACAAGACTTTAATTAGACTATAGAATGAATTAAAGGAAAAGACAATAAGATAGCAGATTGGCTAAGCAGACAAATAGAAATAGATAAAAATAGTAATCAAGTTATAAAAATAAATATTGGAATAAAAGATATAAATAAAGACACCAAACCTAATGACAAAAGCCCAAAATAAATCTAAAAATAGAAAAACAGAAACCAATACTACTGTACAAAGACTTAAGTGAAATACTCCAAGATGAATTAAAGTGTATACAATTTTTTATCAATAAGGAAGTGTTACCAAAACAGATAGAATGTTTAAATATTTACTACTAAAGACAAATGATTTAAAAAATAAAACCTTTAATTGCCCAAATCGAGAATGTAGACACAAGATATCATTATTCAATGGGATAATATTTTTAAATGCCTATTTACCTGGTAACCAAATATTACTAATCAGATACTACTAGCTTATCAAGCTTAAAAGAAAACAAATCCATATCATAATAAACATATCTTTGCCAACAATAACACACTGGACCAAAATATTTAGAATATGCATGATTCAAGAGATAAAAGAATGTGAAACCAAGATAGGCAGAAAAGATGATATTGTGGAATGTGATGAATCAATATTCTACAAAGATCGAAAAAATAACAAAGCTAACAAAGTATGGGTATTTGGAGGAATATCCCAAAACATAAAAGAATTCTTTGCCAAAGTAGTACCAGATAGAATAGCTGAAATATTGATATGACTAATTTAGAAATATATTCATCTGGAATCAACAATCTATACTAATATGTTCAAAAGTTATGACCAAATATTTATCAGATTTGGAATAACACATCACCAAATAAATCATAGCCAAGGAATAACTGTAACAGAGATAGATGAAAAATCAAATAAATTAAAAATAATGCATACCAATAATATTGAGTGTACATAGCGAATACTTAAAGAAAATATACCTTGACAAAACAAAAATAAGAAAGATCTACCTTATTATTTATTTGAATATATTTTCAGATGTGAAAATAAACACAGACTTTAGAATGCATTTATCGAATATTTATATGACACAAACAAAGAATTGATTGATGAAATACAAAAGACAAATAATACTGACCAAAATTAGAATAAACTACTGATAAGAAATAATTATATAAAGACACCCTGAATGACTAGATGAAGGATATCCAAAACTTAATAGATAAACTTTGATAGACCCTAAATAACAAAGACCCAAGAAATACTTGCAAAACTATGAGACACCCAAAAAGAAACACAAACTGAATTGAATGACCTTGCTTATAAGATTAAGAGACTTTATGACTAAAGAAATTGAAGAACTTAATTCCAAAAACTATAATATAACCTTCAAGTCAAGACTCGAAACAAAAATTGTCTCAAATAGTAAAGAACAAGAAAAATTAAGAAATAGTGTATTGTTTAAAGAATTAAACAAATCTGAAAGAAAAAGAGATGAAAAATACTTTGAACAGAATTTAATCACATTAGAATTAATAACTTTAGCACAAGAGAAATCTCAAGATCTAGAAAATAGATACCGGATAAGCAATATTCTAAAACGAATTCAAAGAGGAGACTATAATCTTTCTTATAGATTCGGAACTGAACTGCTCATATTTTAGTCGAATAAAGACTTGAAAAAAAACTATATTCTTTAACTAAACTCAAAGAAGAAATTAATCAAAAGCTTAGAAAACACAAAGAAAAATATTATTCTGAACAATTACAGAAGTTAGAAATTAAAAATGCTAAAAATTAGAAAGAAATTAAAGAAAATAGAAAAATGCATAGGAAGTAAATGCAAAAACAAGAACCAGAACCAGGAGAAGCTTTACAAAACCTATATAAATGACTCATTAAAAAATTAGATCAAATTATAGCTGACAACAAACCATACCTATTTGAAGAAACACCAGAATATTTAATAAGCATGATTGAAAAGTTCGAACAAAGTTCAGATGAACCAATGTATCTTGAAGAAAAAAAAAGACTAATTCAAAAGATAAAGAAATTTGGAAGGACCTTTTTGTCAACATATATAACTCTTTCAAGAGAATTATATAAGAACCTTGAATGAGAAAAAAGATTGTAAAAGAAAAATATTATCCTATCAACTATAAGAAAACTAATTTTTGCAGAAACTGCCAACAGTATCTAGACACTAACAAGTGGGATGAACATATTAAAAGATACCATACTAAAATAATAAAAGCAGAACTGTTTAAAAGAAATAAAAGAAAAATAAGACTCAAAAACAGAAATGAAAAATCAAAATGAATCTAATGGATGGACCCAACAAGGACCTAAGTATTGCAAGAAATGCGACTCTCATGTTGAAAAGCCCAAAGAACATGATTGTGAAACAATACTCCAAAAACTAACAACAGCATTTAAAGATTACAAAAACAAAGAAGAATTTGAAAAAAGACTTGACGAAATAAGAAAAAATCAAAGAATTAAAAACTAGTTCACATGTGGGATTTGCAAAGAAAAAGGATATACAAATAGATATTGCCCAGACCAAGATTGTTACCAATGTAGTAAAAAGGGCATTAGTCACGAGATTGCCTTACAAAGACCAAACTTAATTACCAAAATAAAAATCAACAATCAAATGATAATCAACTAGGACTATTAAGACGAGTATTTGTATGTAAATACTGCAGAGAGAATCATAGAAATGAAAATTTCAAGACTCATAGACTTCTAAAAGAAAATGCAACTTTATTTTGCAAATTCAATGCTGAAGATATCTTATTAAAAAGAAAAGAATATACAGAATGGGCTTAATACTCAACAAATCGAGATAAGAATCATTGTTGCTATTGCAAAAGACTAACTCTATCACAAGACCTCTATCCTATCAAAGAATTATATACTTATCCCTTTTCACATTGACCATTGTTTTTACAAGAACAGTTAGTATATAAAGTATGTTATAGTGAATTTCATGAAAACTTAGACTTAAGAGATCAACGAGCTCAAGAATACTTACTACAAAGGATTAGA